TCAATGTTTGTAAAAGATCCTCGGGAGTTCTTGAAAATAAACTAGTTGCATTTTGATACAAATTTTTTGGATCATGACAAGATTCATATAATTGTTTATAAATAGCTCCAATAACTTCAAAAGAACGTTTTTGTACTATCGAGCGATGATTACTGCTTTGCAATAAACTTATTTGTGGCAATAGCAATACATCTGGCATTACTAAAAATGCTTCCAGTTTGTTCTATAATATATTAAGAATTTTTAATATTTAAGAATATAAAATTAATGTATATTTTTCATCAATTAATAGATAAAATAATGATTACATACTGTAAATTCTTTCACACTTAAAGGATCCATTCCAGGAATAGAGGATAATGGACCTTGTTCATGACCTTGTAAAATAGTATAAATTGAACCAAGATTTAAATGTGCTACTAATGAGCTGGCTTGTTCTGATGTAAGAGTGTCTATTTGTGCATCAGATTGTGCCTGAAAAATATTATTTTACAATTATTTTAACAATAATGTATATAAAAAAATTCGTATATTAAAACGCTCCAATTACCTGTAATCTTTCTAATCGTTGATCCATATATTCATACAATGCTAAAGTAGATTGTATTTGATGCATACAATTTAAAAGATATACAGCCATGTCTACTGTAGGTAATCTTGATGCTGTTTCATTAACTTCTTGTAACAGAGGATCAATAATACACGATACTATCTGTAAATTATTTGATTTGTGAAATTAAAAATATATTTGATTTTGTAAAATAATTAAATATAATGTGATACAAACCTGCAGCATATCTTTCTCTCTATCTTCTGCAATACTTACTACAGAAAGAATTTCATTGAGAAGTGATAATAATCTGGAAACAGATGGAGCAGGTACTAAATCATTTCCCGGAGGTTCTGCGCGTTCGCCAAGTGCAATACGCGTCTCCTTTTGAAGTCTACTTAAAAAACTTTTTTCACTTAATGTTAATAAATCTGTTAATGTTGAATCTAAAATACTATCTGGTATTACTTGTTGAATTATCATGTGATAAAATCTAAGAAGAGTTGTAATAGAATATAATAATGCTGCTGGTACATCTATAGATATAACATTTTCTATTCTTGATTTTAAAGGATGACAAAGTCCATCTGTGATATTACTTAAAGATTGTTTAATTTGATCTGATAAATCTAAAATATATAATAAAAAAATAAGAAAAATAAAAATAAAAGAACAATCATTTAATTTTTACCTGTTTTATCACAGCCTTTTACTAAAGTAAGAATATTTTCTTTTTCAACAGGAATAATTTGATGAAGCCAAGCAAGCATATCACCAATATATCTTTTGGGATCATTTGCATGCATTTCAATAGGATTAGGTGTACTACCATATATTTCTCCTAATGTTAAAGCATCTATAAATGAACCCACTAATATAGTTCTTCTTGCTGCACAATATTCATCTAACACATATCTAAAAAAATATAAATAATTATAAATTGTTTCAGACAAATAATGTTATATTTAGACATGAAATTCATACTTAAATAAAACTGGTCTATCTTGTAATTTATTCATTGCTTTAATTAATAATGGTGCTAAACGTTCATTTTCAATATGTTTACATTGATTTTGTGTCCATCTATATAGCCTTTCAAGAGCTGCCTCTTGCAACAGAGTCATCCTTTGCATAATATCTAATCCTAATGTTTGATATCCTGATTGCATTAATATTCTACAACTGCTATGGATTTCCTACAATTTAAATAAATTATTATTAATTCATTTTTGATTGAAATTTTTTTTATAAATATTATACCTGAACACGATTAACTACAGAAAAAAACTCTTCTGTAATAGGTGATTCCCTGGTAGAACCATGTAAAATATTTTGTTCAGATGAAGTCAATTGAAAATTTTTAATAAATGCATTTGCAACTTCTTGTTGCATAGATAAAGTTTGACTAAAAATATTAATATTTCATGTATTTTCTTTTTTTAAATAAAAATTTACTTTATTCAGTAAATATACCTTTTATTTTGAAGTTTTGCAGTTTGATCAATAAGCTGTGATGTTTGTGTTTTTGTAGTTTGTAAACGATTTGTCATACATTGAACTGCATTATTCATAGCTAAAACATCTTGATATATGCCGTCTAAAGAAGATTTTACTTCTCTAAAAGCAGATAAAAATTCTTCATTTATAGCAAGACTTCTTCTTTCAATTTTACTACGTAAATTTCTACGAGAATTTAATGTATTTTCTGTAAAGAACGTGGATAATTCTTTTAAAGCTTCCAATGTATCCTAAAAGAGAATGTTTATTTTTTATTAAATACATATATAATTACAATATAATATGATATAAATACCTTGTCATTCTCAACTCTTGATTCAAGCAATTTATTAACCCTTCGAACTAAAGTATTATTAGTGTTTTTTTCGCCCATGTTAAATATCTTATTTTTTTACACTTAAATTCATCGAAATATATAACCTATTTTTTGGGAAATGTCACGTAGCAAAAGTATACGCATAGCTACGTATATAGAATTTATAGAATACGTACTCATCTATGTATTATGCAATTGTAACATTGACTTTAAGAAGATATCAAAATGCTGATTTCTAAAGTAATTAAACTTTGAAAGATTTATTTTTTAAATTATTTATTGAATATAATATTTTTTAAATTGGTATTAAAATTAAAAATATTAAATCGATATTAATAAAATTAATTATATATATAGAAAAAACAAAAAATATGATAGAAAATATTTCATTTTTTTGATTACTTACTAAAGTTAGGCAATTCGAACTTTTGAAGTTTAAAATATCAGTAGTAAATTAGAAATTCTGATACATATCTATTTTCAAATTTAGTTTACCATCTAACTTATTACAATTTCGCAGAAATAATATATTTGCAAACTTTCAATATGTCATAGCAATTTTCGTATTATTCCGTTTTATAAATGAATTTAAACTTATAAGATATGTAACATTTTGTAAAAAAAACTCATTAATTATGATATCATTGCGAATATAGTATAGATAGAAAAAAAAGTTATAAAATTGTATATTATATTTATTTATTCATATTGAGGTTAGTGTTTTCTTTTAATTGTAACATGTAATACTGTATTGTTATTGTTAGAATTTGAAGTTAAATTTTTTAGCATGTTATTATAATATAAAGTTATTATAAATTATTATTTATGTTGTTCTTTTATATTTTCTTCTTTACTTTTTGTTGTATTTATAAAATGTTTTATGTTTATATTTTATTTTTTTTTATGTATATAAATATGTTAATTATTTTTACATACAATTTTAAATAGATTTACATGCAATTAAAAAAATAATATTTATTGCATCAGTTCACATTATTTTATTATATGTTTTCATAATAATTTTATTTTAATTTCTTTTTAAGTATGCATGGTTTCATTTAATTTATTGGTGGTAAAATGTCCACGTCAGAATCTGGTGTGGGATGTATTAGTGAAGTAACACTTGCAATTAGTAAAGCAAAAGGTTCTCAATCAGGCACTGTTAGAGCATTGGATAGTCCGGACTCTGATGGATCTGGACATTCAAACTCATTTACTGTGCAACGGTTTAACTATTCTAATAATGATAGTGCAAACTCAGATATTTTGCACCCTCCATTAACTAGTGATGATTTAAGAATACCAATTGTTGGATATGAAGTTATGGAAGAAAGAGCTAGATTTACAGTTAGTTGAAATGATCATTTTCTTATAATTATCTATCAATTTCTTTTGTCTATACTAAATATACAACAATATTCAGTAATTATTTTTCAGGTTTATAAATTACGAGTAGAATTAAAAAATGGAGATTGTTGGTTTGTATTTAGAAGATATACAGATTTTGTTCGTTTATTATCACAATTAAGAAGGCAGAAAATTCCAATTTCACAATTAAGCTTACCAAGAAAAAAATGGCTTGGTGATAATTTTGCACCAAGCTTTTTAGAAGGAAGAATACGTGGTCTTCAAGCATTTGTTAATGGAATATTAAGCAGTCCTCTTCTCATAGGAACTGCATGTGTGAGAGAATTTTTTTGTTTAGATGAACCACCTGCTTTATCTGATACTGCAGAAGAATCTAGAGTAAATAAAATTATATATATATATATATTATTAATTTTTACATATATATTTTATTATTATATTAATTAAAGTAAATTTATATTCTTTTTTTTTGCAGGCAATTTTTGAAGCATTAGAAGATACTATATATCATTTAAGACAGCAATTAAAAGAAAGAGATTCTGCTCTTGCAGCAGAAACAGCTTTATGTAATGAATTTCGCAAAAAATTACATCAAATATTAAGGTAAGTAATATGATTAAACATAAGTAAATGATATTTATAATAATAAGTATCAAAATTATAATTATTATTTCAGTGAAAGACAAACTTGTCCGAAATGTGGTGCATCTCAGTAGCAGTTTCTTATAAACTAGAAACTTATAAATTGATATTGATAAAATATTTTATGCAAAGACTAGTATAAATAAGCAGTTTCATTTCTGGTGTTTGAATTGCTATAATATAAATAATTGTTATTCGTTGAAAATGTATTTAGAGTATATTTTATGCATTTCATTACGCATTTTTGTTTCATTAATTTATACTTATAATTTATACTAAAATAACTTAATTTTTATGCAAGATGTATATAAAATTCTTAACATATATATTAACAATAAGTACATTGAGCTTTCTTAGTATTAAACTTATAACTTTGTATGTAATTTTTTGAAGCCTTATACAGGTGCCTTATACAATTTTAATAGATAAATATTGTATATGTCATATATATAGTCAAAAAGTTGACAAGTAAATATTTACATGATTGTAAATGTTTACAATTTGACTACGAATATATGCCAAAGTATGTTAATCTTTGGTATTTTATAAAATTCTATGTATTTTGTAGTATTTTACATCGTATAAATAATGATTACGTTTGTCGAATTATAATTGATATTAATAGTATTTATTGTCATCATAATACTGAAATATTGATATTATTGTAAACTTTGATATTACAGTATTGTGATATTTAAAGTATATTTATGTAAAGATATAATAAATACTTGACATTTCCATTAATTATATTTTATACTTATTACATATCGTAATTAATATTTATTATATCTTTGTAGTTACATTATTAAATATTTTACAATACTGCACAAATATAAAAATTTGTTATACATTATAAAAATTTTTAATTAAAAAATGTAAAATGAATAAATTTAATATTGTTATCCTTTTAATAATAATAATGGATATTAAGAGATTTAAAAATATCTCTCAATTGAATTATTAAATATATTTCAACCTTAACCATATCATATAATTTAAATGGTCTTATATATAATTAAAATGTGAAGTGAGAAATTATTTTTCAGTCTTCTTTATCTGGAGCAACAACAAGGCATAATACCTGGATCAGGTACGTGATTTTCGCTGAAAAAAAAAA